AGCCGCAATCAAAATGTATGTACACAGATGAAGAGGGGGAAGAGACAAGAAAACAGCAAATCCGCGTCCATCGACCTCAACTCTCTTCTCCTCTCTCTCCCTCTCCGATGCGGACAGTCCGTCGTCACGCACCAACCCACGAAGTTGTCACCCCGCTTAGCCCTCCCGCACCCGTCGGATTCGCCTGTGCCCACAGCCCATCGTGGCCCACGTCAATCCCGCACGTTTGGCACCAGCTCGTCGGGTCGCCCAACTCCGGCTCTACTCACCTCTTACTTCGCTCGTGTGCCGACCCTTCCTGATCGCACAACCCTGAGCTTCCAACAACGGGTTAAGAGAGCTGACTAATCGCGCAACCAAGATTTATAGCGTGCATGCATGCGCGAAGAACACGGAATTACCAGGACTTCGAGTGAGGATCAGAGAGGGAACCCCTGCGTTCTGCATGATCGGCCGCGGCGTGGGGGACGTAACCCTTCTCCACACATCGATCCGAGCATGCAAGCTGCGACTTACAAAATTTCAGCAAAAGAAAGAGAGGGAGGGCGGGAGAGACGAAGTGCAAGAAGAGAGATACAGTTACAATGGCGCCCACCCAAAAATTACAGTTACACATACGATTAGGGGCGCCCACTAATCAGAGTGTCGTTGCAGCCGCATGAAGAAGCGCGTAAATAAAAGGCGCCGCGCGGCAAGAAAAATCCTAATTACTTAATTCCTAAATTCCTATCTACTACGAAAAAGCAAAAAGAAGCACAAGTTCCAGAAGGAAAGTCCAAAATTCCGAGAGTCATCGGGGGCTCGACAAAATTCGGAAAAGATTTAAAAAGAAATTCAAAAAGAACGAAGCAATTTCCCGCACGATGTCCGCGCCCAAAAAAGATCGAAACCGAACAAAAAAAAACGACGTCAACATTTATTAATTGCGCGCGCGCGTGGCGTCGCGCCAGACAACCATCCGACCAATCACTCAACCGGCCACCCAAAGACACACCTGACCCCGTGCCTGGTCATTCGAAAAAGAAACGACGAAAGAGGACGAAAAAGCGAGGACACTCATGCAAGTTTCCACCGATCCCGATCTCCCGTAATTAGCCCAATCTTCCCAGCTTAGGATCCCTCATTGCAACCGCGCAGAAAATCGAGCGTTACAGAATGTGGTTCGTCACATTTGTGACGCCAGGGGGGTTCCAATATTAGCAAGCTCCTGGTTGCTTGTTGACACGTGTCGATTTCTCTAATTGATCGACACATGGAGCAATTCTCTGTATGTCACTTACCGTTCGATTCCGTGTGGACGTCATCCGACGTGGCGACTCTGCTCTTCTACTAGTTTCTCAGATTGGGCTCTTCGACGATCCAAGGACGGGATCTTTCTCGTGTCGTCACCGCGACACACGTCGATTACCGCTGCATCAGTAATTAACTGGAAGGGGGAAGGGGAGTCGGTGCATGGCAGCATGGCGGGGTGGAGGGTTTGCGGGTAGCGGGGGCAGAAAGCTTTCCATTCCGGCTACAGTTTTTGGAAGCTCTTGGTAGCGAATGATGCGGTGAAAGCGGGGGAAGCGATTGCCAGTGCGAGGGAGGGATATGAGGTAATCAGAATTGAGGGTGGTGAGAGTCCGGAAGAGTGCCGCGCGGAAACGATCGCGATCATCGCATGCAGGGATGGTCCCCGTTACCACGCAGTAGACCTCGATCATGTTGTGGCCTCGCCACGCGGCACTAAGGAGCAGGACATGGAGGCAGAAGGCTGGGACGGCGCATCGAATGGAGGGGTGGGGTTGCACCACTATAGCAAGGCGAACAGCGTAGAAGTGGTGGAAGGTGGCGCGGGGAAACGGATTGGAGGGGAACGTGATGGGGGTGGTGAGCTGGCGGAGGGTGAGGTAGTCAAGGGGACGGCGAGAGAGTGATCGGGGACGAAGACCGATCGCCCGTATCGGTACGTCAGCGAACTGGGGACGGGTTGAGGAGGAGGGGGATCGGCTCCATCGCCGCGCTGATGGGGTCAGAGTCGTAGCTGCGAGGTTGCCATCTTCAGGCTGGGGCGGCTCCGGATCTCAGTTCGGATCGTCCTGAATCTGCAGACTCATCGCGCTTGCGAGCTCTAACTCCTTTCCGGCCACGATCTCTTCTCTTTTGCGGGCCACCTCGGGATCCTCAGCCTCCGTACCTGTACGCAGCGCTTCTTGTGGCACGACTTCCCACTCCGATCTAGCAGGCTCTTCGTCGTGCTCCTCTTCTCCTTCCTCGCTTTCTTCTTCTTCTTCGCTCTGTTCCCCCTCGCTATGCTCGCTATAGCTTCCTTCTTCGGGGGTTTCGTCTTCTTCCCCGAGCTCTTCGTCGCTGTTCCCGCCTTCTTCCAGTCCGTCGTCGTCTTCGTCACTCCCGATACTCTCTTCCTCCTCCTCTTCTTCTCGAATGGCCGCAAGCTGCTCCGCTGTAGGATGCCTGAAGAAGGCAGGATCGCGAGCCGTCCGGGGATCCAGGTATTGTTGCTGCGACGGCGGGATGCGATCTGCGGCTCCTTCTACACAAGCCGACCACTGAAAATAAGGCGTCAATGTGCGAGAAAGCACGTGGGGAACTTGATGCTCGTCGTCTTGCGAGATGATGTCGAGAGGGAGATCGTCCGCCAGCTGTGCTACCGGGATCGTGAGCTCTTTCGTGATGAGATCCTGGTGACCGGGCCGCACCGTACCGAATAGAAACGCGAGAAGCTCTCCCTCCATGTTGGTTCGCCAAGCCTGGATGAACAGCAACTCCAGGCGCTCTATGCAAGGCGGGTGCGCTTCGTCCTCGATCCACGTCAGCCGTACTTCCACGAGACACAATGAAAGTTCGATGAAGTCTTCGCGACACAGGACCCAATGGGGAGGATGGATATCGGGGACAGCGAGGGGCTTTAGACAGTAGGAAAGACGAGGATGGATATCGGACTGCCAGAAGGTGGGGAAGGTGGAGGGGAGATAAAAAACGGAGATCGGAGAGAGACTCATTGGGGACGTGGGAAGGGAACGAGGATAGGGATGTCTGCTGGCGGCTCGCGCTGATACATCCGAAGGCCGTCGTACTCGATCGCTCGCGTCGTTGCGACTGTATCTCTGGGACGAGCCAGCAGCTGAGTCCACTCGGCGACCAGATCATTCGCCCATGCACGCAGTGACGCCTTCACCGTCGAATGTCGCAAAGGAAGAAGTGTGGAGAGATCGCCACTGAAGTTGATGATGACCGATATGCGACTGACACCTGGCACCGTCCGCTGATGAATTGCTACCGCCTCGGCTAGCACCACTGCGTCCGGCCGACCTTCGATTCTGAATACCGCCGTTGCATACACGCTTTCCGTGCAGAAGAAGTGCGCAAGCCTCAGAACGTCTGGACTGAGGCGGGGATGATGGACTTGCCGGATCGTCAACCGATCACGGGGAGCAAGTGATGCTGCGCTGAGGGCTCTTTCCTCCAGAAAACTCATGGCAATGGCGAAGGTGACAGGGAGGCAGATGGGGAGCAGGAGGAAGAGGGAGATGGCGGAGAGTCAGAGTCGTCGTCTCCGGCTTCCTCAGAATGAGAGATCGAGGGAGAAGGGGAGGGAGCAGAGGGGAGGAGACGAAGATAGGACACGTGGCGGGTGATCGGGCGCGCCAATCGGCTGCCAGAGACTTCAGGGGCGAGACGCACAGTATCCACGCCGTTGGCGCCGAGCTCAATAACGCGGTATCGCCCGAAGAATCGTGGCGCTAGCTTACCCTTGCGAGCACATTTCCTCACCTGCACTACATCCCCCAATTTGTACTGGGGCCGCGGACCTGCATTCCCATTTTGGGCCTCGTAGCTCCGGACCTATCGGCCCTGGGCTAGTTCGGTCATTTTCTATCGCTTTCGGGCGAGCCTGGGCAGCGACCGTTCCATTAACTCTAGGTGTCGTTTGGCCTTGTCCCAAGCCGTGGCTCTGGTGGGTCGTCGGTTCAATGTAGACTCATCCGGGAGGCTTGGTATCGAAACACAAGCAACACTATTGGTTCTTAATTGGAAGGGGCTCAGCCCCGTCGATTCGTGGGGCGTTCCACGATGGACCGCTAGGATGAGATCGACGATATCGGGCCAGTGTCTCGGATCCCGTGCCGCGATGTTTTGTCGCAATGTTGTTTTTATCACCCAGTTAGCGTTTTCGACCAGCCCATTAGATTGCGACATGTGGGGTGCAGTGTTCTGTATGGCGACGCCATGTGAGACCAGATTCCTTAACACCTCTCCCCTGAATTCATCCCCATTGTCGGTCAGGATCTCTTCGGTGTCCTGATGCATCCCGAGGAAACGGTTGACATATCGCGCGATTTTCGTGGCTTGCCGCGTGCGACAAGGATACGCTTCGATCCATTTCGAGAAATGGTCGACAAATACCAGTAGGACTGAATACTCGCAACTATTAGGGCCAGGGGGCACCACTATGTCGGTAGTGTCCATGCTTACTTTCTGAAATGGTCGTTCAACAACCGTGGGCATTATCAACCTTGGTGGTTGAATCGACGCTTTATCAGCGGCGCAGACTTGACAGGTGGCGACGATGTACTTCACATCGTCCCGGATATTGGACCAGTACCACTCTTTTTTATCGATAGCGGACTCCGTGATTCGTACAGCAAAATGAGCCGCAGTTTCTTCGTGGGCTGTCTTAACCCAGTCATACTGCATGAACAGATGCGGCACTACCATCCAAATCCCACTACCGTCCGTTTTTCGTTTTTCTAATCTACCTTCAACCCATCAATAGTCCCGAGCCCTTTCGTTGGCCCTCCTCCGATCTTCCTTGGTGAAATCCTGGAGGGGGTTACCTACTAGGGTGGCAATTAAGGAAATATCTGTCCATACTTCGGTCCTTCTAAACTTTCGTTTTTTTTCCAATCCTTCTGACGTGGCATCCAAAAAGCGAGCCTCGATCAGAATTTTGTCGGTCCGGCACAAGGGGCACAACCATGGTTTACTATCATTCCGGTATTGGATGCACGAGCCGTGGGCCCGTGCAACGCACTGTCGGCAATCTATCCAATCTGCATATCCCACCCCGTTAGGACGCATGGAGACCGAATAGACGCGGGAAATGGCTTCGCAAAAATAACAAAATTTGTCAGGCAGGAAGGGGAGAGACGAGGAGGAAGGGGGAAAAAGAGGGGTAGTGGGGTTACCTCCATCACCCATCGCCACCGTTTTGCTTCGTGCCACGTGGGAGAACTGCCACTTGTCCGTACTTCGGCTCGTTAGTTTGGTCCGGCTCCTTCCACGGTGTAATTTCCTCGCCCTTTGGTACCTTGGCAGGTCGATGCAGACGTGTCAGCCCGTCCGCGTTGCCGTGTCGCTCTGTCTTTCGATGGACGATATCGAAGTCGTATTCTTGTAGTCGCACCGCCCAGCAGCCAATCATGCCCGTGTAGTTGGTGAGTTTCTTCAGCGCAAGTAGAGGCTCGTGATTCGTTACGAGGCGAAACTTCCGTCCGTAGAGATACGGATGGAAGTGTTGGATTCCCCAAACTACCGCATAACACTCACCCTGAGGTGCGGAGTCGTTTCTTCGTTTGTCCGGTATGGTTCATGACCCATACTCGATGACGTGTTCGCGACCATCGTTCCCCTTCTGCGCTAGGATAGTGGAAATAGCTTCCAGTTGCCTGTCCGTGATGAGAATGAACTGCTTCGAGGGGTCCAGTCGAATCAAAATAGGGGTCGTTGCCAGAGCATCCTTGAGGGTTGCAAAGGCCTGCTGGCACTCCGCGTCCCAGCTGAGAGGCTGGTCCTTCCGTAGCAGATTCGTTAGTGGTCGTGCAATCGCGGCAAAGCCCTTGATGAAGCGCTGGTAGTACGTCGCCAGTCCCAAGAAGGCTCGAACCTGCGTCAGTGACGTAGGGACCCGAGCTTCCTTCACCGCCGCAAGTTTTCTCGAATCTGGCCTCAATCCTCCACGTGTCACGACATAGCCCAAGAACAAAATTTCCAAGAGGAAAAATTCGTTCTTCTCAAGCGCAATCTTGAACCCAGTGTCTCTCAATGCTCCCAATGTCCATTCAATATGTTGCGCGTGTCCGTGATAGGTTTCCGAATAGACCAGGATGTCGTCCATGTACACAATCACGCAGAAGTTAATAATTTCTTAAGTCAGCCGTGTCTTGTTGACGAAGTTCTGGAACGTCATGTTCATCGCTCGCTGAAACGTGGTAGGCGCATTGCAAATCCCCATCGGACACCGAACCCACTGCCACGTACCCTCAAACAACACAAAGGCCGTTTTCGGCCGATCTTCTTCCCTTACCAGAATATGATGGAAGTCATGCCGAATATCAAACTTGCTGAAATAATTAGCGCATTCAATCGCATCCAACAGATCATCAATCCGGGGGAGGGGATACACATCTTTGATCGTGATTTCGTTCAGCTTGCGATTATCAATGCAAATGCGAATCGCCGCGTTCTTCTTTGGTACTAACACTACGGGAAAGGACCAAGGTCCGGTAGCGGGTTCAATCCAGCCGCTAGCTTCGAACTCCCGAATTCGTTCGAGAGTCTTTTTGCGTTCAATCAAGGAATAGCGATAAGGTTTGCAATGAATCGGGGCGTGATTTCCTGTCTGAATTTCATGTTGGACTACTAATGACAACCCAATGTCAGTGTCTGACACACTAATCGCTCCTTGATATTCCGTTAGAATATCCGCAATTACCCGATGGATTTCGTCCGACACATATTGTGGAACGTGCAGTTCAAACAGTTGGTCCCAGATCCGAACGTCAATCTGTTTCGTGTTCGCCTATTTTGTCAAATCGGGTGGGGGGCGCCGAGATGAAAGAATGATCCGATCGCCAGGAGAACACCGTGGCCATCATCTCAGCATCTTCTTCTCGGATTGCCACGTGTCCTTCCGGGGTAATCCTGTCACAAACATCCTGCCATGGCACTTCCTTAGTTGCGATCTTTCTCCCCAGTCCGTCTGTTTCCGCTTCAAAACGCCCAGGGGGTTCCAGAGAGCTTGCTTCCGCCCCCAAGCGTAACAATCTCACTTCTTTAGCCGAAGTTAGTAAGGACAGATCCGTAATGTCACAGTAATGCTTCTTGTCGTTGTACGGGGCGAGGAGAGGGGTGATTCCTTCGTACAGAGTTTGAGGGGGTTCCAAAGAAGCGACCATCCTCGAAATCTGCACAAGGGGCTCACCCAAGATCATCGCCTTGGTCCTTTGAATTTTTCGGCTGGTTAGTTGCATCGTTCTTGCTATCGTTTTGGGTGGCGGGTAACAGACACGCTGTCATGCTAATTTCAAGATCTTTGGATCATCCTCGTCACTGCTTTCCGCATCGTCCGTTGATGACTCTCCTTCTGCAGATTTCTCCCAGGAGATCATGCAAAGAGTCCCTGCCATCATCGGCGAAACCCGCGGAACCGTGTTAATAGTAGTGCGAAGGGTCAATCGCATGGGCACAACGTAGGGTTTTCCTCCGGTATTTCGGAGGACGATCGATCGTCGTTCGAAGTCCAGGTTTGCTCTTAACGCCACAAGAGCGGGAAGTCCAAAGAGAACGTCGTACGTATTGACATCTAGTACTACGACATCCCCAAGCGCATGCACTTTACCCAATCGGAAAGCGACATTGGTCATTCTTCCCACGGTTTTAATTCTTTCTTCGTCAGCCGAAATGAGCTGATCTTTCGCAGAAAGCGTGATCAAGTCATTTTTCCTGCCTGCCCTTTCGACCACTCTCAGTGAGATAACCAACACAGCCGCTCCCGAATATAAAATAGCATTGTAAGGAATTCCCCAAATTTCTATATCACACTCGGCGGCTTTTCACGGAATTAGTTTAATCCGCAGGAAATGATCATCTTTCTGGATTAAACCTACCGGTATCGGATCCAAAGTATTTGCGGGGTTTTCTTCGGGCGCGGGGCTTTTGGCTTTCGCGTTCGGGGTTCGGCAAGGGCGAATCGCTTCCGGTTTGCTTTGCAATGCTGTAACATTCACTCGTTGGCCTGTTCGGAGATCGAGAGCAGATGACCAATCGGAAGGGGAATCCGATGGTCCAGATCTCGGATGATGTTTAATACATCGATCTCCCCTGTGACGAAGGTGGGTCCTCCCGACTCCATCTCTCATAGGGACAGTCACCACTCCGCCACCTCTTTTGGTTCTGGCGCTGGTCTGATCGTTCCGATCATTCCAAGCCCAAGATATCTCAGCGATACGTACTGATCTAGCGCAATTAGTTCGGCGGCCTCTTCCGAGGTAGCCAGGGCACTTCCCCCACCCTTTATTTCTTCCATCAGGGCCCCGACTCATCCAGGCACGTTGGTGATGGGGGCCGCAGCCATAGGTGCGACCCCGATCCGCTGTTGCGGGGGTCGGTGGGGGCAATCACGAGCTAGATGGCCTGGCTGATGACAGGTGTAACAGACACTCATATTATTTGCGACTCCTCTGAGAGTAGGGGATGAGGCTACTCCTTGCTGCATCGGAGGGGCACGCACCGCAATGGGTCACATGTTCCTCATCATGGTTTCCAGCCGAGCATTGTGCTCTCGCTGCTCCTTTTTACTTTCTTGGATCAAACTAATCAAAGTTTTGGTTGGTTCGAAAATGGCCGCCGATTCGTTTGATCGTACAGGAGCCTCAACCGTCGGCAGGGGTAATGCCCTGACGGGTGGGGGCATCATAGGAGCAGAGATGCTCAGAGTCTCACTTAGGATTACTCGTTTGGGGCCTATCTGTTCCATATAGGTGACAGGTCCTGATACAAACCCCATGTTTTCAAATTTGTTTTGTAAAGCGGCCAACTCTGCTCTTGCTCGGGCGAGCTCGGTCGAATCTCTGTCTCTAGGGTAGTGTTCTCCCTCCAGGAAGTTCGCCGCGAACTTCCATCCCATTTCTTCCCCAGCAGCCATAATTTGTTGCAGCGTATGAGTGATGGGGGAAAATTGCTTTCGCAACTTAGCCCTGATTGTTCGGCTGCGGAGCCTGTCGATGAACAAATCTCTCCCTACTTGCTCACCTCGCTCAGTTTTTACGAACATTCGATAGAACCGGTTTCGATATTCCACCACGGATTCGAGAGGTTTTTGCACTCGGTCCTTGATCATGTATAGTGCTTGCTTAGGGTGAACATAATCGAATCGGTTCATGAAGTCCCGTTCGAAGGTCGGGAGATCCACCCATACATAGGTACTAAGCCAATGATGAGCGTCTCTTCCCATTCGAGCCGGAATGTTGATCTGTGCTTCGTTGTCAGTGTACTGTTGGCCTCTAAGTGTGGCCAGCCATGCTCCTGCGAGGTGGTGTGCGGGATCAAGCAAATAGAGATCAGGTGGTGTCATGGGAGCTCGTGCACGTGGGGCGGGTTGATTTGGGTTAGCATTTTGTTGCTGAACCGGGTTCTGCATATTGCCAGCCATGTTGGCTGCTCGTCGGTTAGCCGATCTGCTTCGGGTAATGATAGGGTCGCGTCTATGCGCGTTCCGGGGGCGAGGTCGCCCACGGTTAGCCAGGTCGCCTAATTAGCGTGCTATCGATCCTAAGACCCTAGCCACGTGTCGGGCTCCGATACCAACCTCACGCCCAACGCGACTTCCTGATCGGAGTGGAGTGTGGGCCTGGAAGTGCGAAAAGGGGTGTGCCAAGGATTTTTGGGGGAAGTGGGGGAGTCTTAAGGGTATG